GCCTCGCCACCCCAGTCCAGTCCTTCCCCAGCTTTTCTTGTTGGTTTTATTTACCACAGAGGACAGGCCTAACAATTTTACTCTCTGTTTTGAATCTGTTATCCGCCTGATGTTTTATCAAAAAAACAAAACAAAAACAAAAACCCTTAAGATCTCAGTTTGAGGAACTGAGAAAGAGTTTCCTGGGTTTTCCTCCAGAGCTTCCAAACACGGAGTGGCATCCCAGGGACCCCTTTTGTCCCTGACGCAGCGGCTTCCACGACAGTTGGCATGATGTTGTCCACCTCGTAGAACTTGAGCCCACTGAGGGTGTCTCCCTCCTCCTCTGTGCTCCATGTCACTGGTGCTCACTTTTTTTTTTCCAAGACAGATTTGTTTCTCTGTGTGGCTTTGGAGCCTGCCTGCCTGCCTGGAATTCACTCTGTGGCCCAGGCTGGCCTCGACTTCACAGAGATTCCGAGTGCTGGAATTAAAGGTGTGAGCCACTACCGCCCGGCCCGTGCTTCCTCCTTACTCCGTCCTTGGAAGTACCGCTTCTTTTCCAAGGCTGATTCTTCAGACTGTACTCCCTAGTCCTTCCTCCCCACCCTCCTTACTTTTCTACTGTTGCTCTCCATTTACGTCTCTTCCCTTTTTTTTTTTTTTTAATTTTCGAGACAGGGTTTCTCCACAGCTTTTTGGAGCCTGTCCTGGAACAAGCTCTTGTAGACCAAGCTGGCCTCGCACTCACAGAGATCCACCTGCCTCTGCCTCCCGAGTGCTGGGATTAAAGGCATGTGCCACCACCGCCCGGCTCTTCCCTTTGTTTAACAAACACATTCGGTGTTATTTCTTGAAGATAAATGTAATAATCCCTGCCTGGAATCTTCCTCCCCCTCCCCTGCATTCTCTGTCTGATGTTTCAAAATACTAGACCCCTTGACTAACAAAAACCAGTAAGATTTTCCCTGTCATCAAGATTTGTGGGCAGAGATGATTCCTGTCTTGTCTCCACCATGCTTTGTGCCCTCCACCCCTCACCTCCCACTCATTCCTCAAAGTGAAAAGCAACTCTCTCTTCTTTTTTCTTTTTCTTTTTTGGTTTTTGCTTTTTGAGACAGGGTTTTTCTGTAGCTTTGGAGCCTGTCCTGGAACTAGCTCTTGTAGACCAGGCTGGCCTCGAACTCACAAAGAGTGCTGGGATTAAAGTCATGTGCCACCATGGCCCAGCTTGCACCTTCTTGCTTTAGGCCGCCACCACCCATCCAACCCTTTAGGAGGCTGAAACTGAGTCCATCTCAGACCTTCCCTAACCCCAGCAGCTCCCAGTAGCGTCCAGCAGCCCTCAGTAGCCCCCATCAGCCCTGAGCAGCCCCCAGCCCCCCCGGTAGCCCTCAGCAGCCCCCAGCAGCCCTCTGTCACATCCTCTGCCCCTTTGCAGTTGACAGAATGTTCCTTCCTTTCACGTTGTTGTTTTCATAGGTGTGTATACACAGGGATGTATGTATGTTCATGTGTGCAGGTGCACATGGATCCGTGTGCAGAGGAGGCCAATCTCGGTTATTCCTCAGAAGCCGTCCACCCGAGACAGGGTTTCTCTGTGTAGCCCTGGCTGTCCTGGAACTCGCTCTGTAGCTCTGTAGACCTGGTTGACCTTGACCTCAGAGGTTGGGATTAAAGGCTGCGCCACCACCACCTGGCTAAAACAGCTTAGTTGCTCTTTCACGTGTGTGCAGGAGTGCCACAGGGCATGTGTGGAGGTCAGAGGACAGTTATGGGAATCAGGTCTCTTCCGCTATGTGAACAGAATTTGGGTTTTCAGGCTTGGTGGTCAACAACACACGTTCCTCTGCCCACTATGGTTTTCTTTTGAGCTAGGGTCTCTCACTGGGACCTGGAGCTTCTTGACTGTGTTAGGTTGGCTGGCCAGTGAGCTCCTGGGATCCTCCACCTCTCCAGGACAGGGCCTACAAGTATGCACCACCAGCCTGACTTTTTATGTGGGTGCTGAGGATCAAACTCAGGGCTTCTTGTATGCAAGGCAAGCGCTTTATGGGCTCTCTCCCCACCTCTGTTCCCCTCCCCACTTGAATGCAGTTACTGCGCTTAAGTGGAAATGCATGAGTTAGGGATCTGCATGGTTACGCTATGCAAGGAGGGCCCTCACCTACGTTCTTGAGATGCTGACAGTGTAGGGGCTGAAGGCTGTGACCTCTTCCCTCAAGGGTCATAGCACCTGCTGTTACAAGCACGTGCGAATGAGAGATAAACATATAAAAAATAATTTTGCAACAGAAGTCTTCAGACATGAAAACTCAAAGCCCTAAGTGGGTGTTAGTTTTCAGTTTTAGATTTGACAGCACACAGTGAACAGCTGGACAGAGACTGTCCCTAACAGATAGAGGCAGGGAACTCAGCCACGCCCATCCACTGTCAGGACCCTTCCTCTCAAAACCTCTGCAGAGGAGCTGATGTCAGACATGGTCCAAAGACTTCATTATGGGCAGTTTTTACACAGAAAATTGGAGGGCAGAGAACTTTGTTAAGCTCTATGGTTGGTCTTTTGAGGAGGGGTCTCGATGACCCCAATAGGAGAGAGTCCTTGTGTGTGAGCGGCTATGGGAGGGCGGAGGGGCTGAAACCGGAGGATGGGAGAACAGCAGAGACCTACCTCTGGAGTCCCTTCGGGAAAAGCACCCAGCCGGCCACTGGGCCCTCTCTGGAGAGCTCTGGAGTCCCCAGCAGGATTACAGTGGCTGGAAAGGGTGAGCTAACCCAGGCTGGCCCTGCAGCGGGCAGCAGCCCCCTATTCTAGCTTCACAGACACCCCAGGGTCACCATCACAGCACCAATCAATCCCCCAGCCCCAGCCTTCCCTGTGTACACCCTCAAACTTGAGCTTCTCTGCTCCAAGATGCTCAGTTCACACCAGCTCACACCAGCTGGGTTCCTGGCTTCTCAACCTCGGCCCAAGCTCTTTAGTCAGCCCCTACCATAGCACGTGCTGGTCTTTTCACTGTTCCTGCCCTCCGGGGAGCCTCCTGCCTGGCTGTAAAGGCTGCTCTTCCTGCCTCAGATGCAGGGTTTAAATTCAGATCCTTAGCTGAAATGTGTCAAACAGAAGCCCAGTCTCCTGTTCCACCCCCACTCAGTCCTGAGCATGACATTCCATCTCTAGCTTCTTTCCTAACCTCTTTTCTTAAATTGAGCCCCAAAGTACCCCACCCCAGAGATCAAACTCCTGGGCCCAGCCTGATGGGGGGCACATTTCCACAACTTGTTTCACGGTAGGCACCGAGTCAACTCTTGGGGATCCCTGAGCTCCCTCCCCACACCCACCATGGTGGACAGGATGCCTGCTGCCTGGTACCAGGGGGTCAGAGGAAGCCGGGGCCTCTGGGACTCAGTATTTTTATCAGCTAGGAAATGAGAGCTGCAGAAGCGGAAACCATGTGGTCAGAGAAAGTGAACAGCCTTCATCTCAGGGGAACCCCCACCAGGGCTGGGGGCCAGACACCCGGGGGGGGGCATGGAGGGAGGTCTGCCAGCCAGACAAGGGGGGGGGGAGAAGGTCTGCCAGCCAGGGGAGGCTGCAAGGGGGGAGACAGAGGGGGAGGTCTGCTGGCCAGGGGAGGGGTATCAGCGTACTTTGGTGTTATGTAGTTCCTGTAGAGGAGGAAACCAAGTGCTTCAGTCCACAAGCCAGCACCGCCGGTCCGGTCCTCTCAACCCCAGCTCAAGGGTCCTGACTCCAAAGCGGGCTCTTTGCATGCCACTTCCGAAATCCCCAGCCTGTGAGAGGAACCGGATGCCGGGCCCGCTCACAGTTCCAGGACTCTTCTCCGAATCACAGCAGCTTCCTCTCACAGAGCTCTTCCCCCCACTGCTCAACATCTGCCTGGCCTTGGGGCCAGGGGGCTCGGGCTTCTTCCTAACCTCCCCGATGTTTCCCCGGGTCTGAGGTCAACCGTATATTCCCAGCAGTTTCTTCCCTTGTGATGTCAGGACCCCGGCCCTCAAGTAGGCGTTGGCTGCAACCCTGACGATGCCCTTTGGGATCAAACACAACCACATACAGTACACACCTGCATAACATTGTCTTGGCTCTACTTTAAACCTGAGTTCCCAGCTGTGTCTAGGTGTTGGTAGTGGAATATGCCTAGCGTCTCCATTTCCAGAGAGATGTTGAATTTGAGCGGAGGTACGGATGGATTTCCCTGCCCGTCTTCCACGTCTCAGAATTTGAGCGGTGATACGGATGGATTTCCCTGCCCATCTTCCATTCCTCTCTCCAATCCCTAGGACCTCAACCCAGGGTTCTTGGGAAGGAGATGCTTATGTGGAAGGCCAAGCCTGGGTTGTCCAGAGCTGAAGCCCGGGTTTATGGTTGGGAAGTCAAACAGTAGATACCAAGACTGGAGACCTGGAGAGGTGAGCCAGAGAAGGCGCTGCCCAGGAGCCCGGGTGTGGATCTCTAGTTGCCCAAGAACAGACAACCCAGTTTACATAATCTGGCTCTTTCCGGCCTCCTTCCTGCTTCTAATTTTAGCAGCTGAAATTCCCTCCCCCACAGGCTCTTTCTCCATCCCCTCTTTCTAGTCTCTGCCCTCCCAGGTCTTTATGATCCCCAGCCCTGGCTGCCCCCAACTCAGCTCTCTAGTGACTCAGCACAGGGAAAGCCCGTGTTGGGGTGCAGTGGGGAGGAGGATGTGGTTCTGGTTGGGGAGCAGGGGGGAGGAAAATGGTTTGTTCCCTTTTTTGACATCTTTCTTCAGCTGCAGACAGTGAAGTGGTCAGGACCCCAGGGGAGGGAGCAGAAGGGGTCTGAAGGACAAACTGGACCTTCTAAAGGCTGACCTCAAGGGAGGGTGGGTGGGCGGAGGGTGGGCTTCTGGCCTCCATGGAGAGCTCCCACTGTCTATGTGCTGCAGGTGTGTGGGAGCTGCGGGTTTCGACAGCTGGGCGGGAGAGGAGATGTCATGGTGATGAAAACCATAGCAATGGAAAAAGCAGAGCAGACTCTGGAGTGAGCGGGGGAACCAGGTCTTATTAGGAAGCGGCAGTCAAGAGCAGTGGTAGAGCCTCCCCTGCCCCACCCCCGCACCCATTACGTGAGCCTGCCCCATATCCTCTCTGTGCAGGGCCTGCCTCTGTCCATCCCCATCCATGACCTTGCGCCTCTTCCTGCCCATCCTTGAGGCTACACCCACACAGGTTCTTGCCCATCCCCCTGGGTCACTTGAGGGCTTCTGCGTGGCGGTTCAGGGCCTGAGAAAGGGCTGTCACCGCTCCCATCACGCGGCCCAGCTCCCAGGTCTCAATCTGGCTTCGGAATCGCTGCAGGAAGCGGTCAGGGTGCCATCGGACCTGCTGGGCTCTCAAGTACCTCCTCAGAGCCCCTTGTTCCTCCAGAGGGGGGCCCCTGGCCACCAATGCTGCAGCCATGGCCTCTGGGTCCCCTCCACCAGGACAGGGCCAGGGCACGTCACCAAAGCGCCAGAGGCTGCCCCTCCCTGCCCCTCGTGGGTGCTCTGCCCCAGGCCCAGGCTGGAGAGGATCTGTCTCTCTGCCCCCTTGAGCTTCTTGAGCCCGCCTGGCTCGGCTCTGGCGCAGTTCCTCCTCCTTGGCCCGGGCTCGCTCCCGGAAAAGCCGCTGTTCCTCTTCTTGCTGAAGCCAGCTGTGACTGGAGCCCTCCGCCCTTTGGGGTCTGCAGGATCTCTCTGCCTCTAGCTGCTGCCGCCGTTTCTGGGCATGCTCCTGAGCCAGGCGATCTGACCAGGCTGAGAAGGACTCGGGCTCCTGCACCTCGTGAGAAGCATCATCTGTTTGGAAGGAGGGATGCGGGTGTTGGAGAGAGGTGATTAGAAAGGCAGTGAGATAGAGCGCACTCGCCCAGGGCCTGGAGGAGGGCAGCTCTGGTGGCGGTGGCAGCGGGCCCTCACCTTCAAACCTCCCGATGGCCTCTTGCCACTCATCTTCCAGCTCGCCCTGCAGCTTCTGCCGCCATTCCCGCTCCTTGGAAACCTCCTCGTCCTCTTCCTCTTCGGCAGAATCCCAGGGGGGGCCCCAGCCCAGAATCTGCCCAGGAGTCTCCCCATCCTTATTCTTTATCCCCATGGCGGAGGGGCAGCGACTCAGCAGAGGCAGGAAGAAGTCCCTGTAAGCTGGGGGCAGAGACGGGGAGATCACCTGGGGCTCCAGCCCTGGCAGGGCCACCATCCTGGAGTCTCTAACTCCTGACATTCACGTACAATGACACGCGTGGTGAGTGTGGAAGCTTAGAGCGCTCTGACAGCTCCCCACAGCCTCAGGCGCTCCGTGTGCTGCAACAAAAGGCAGTTCTGGGCCCAGCTCCTGCCACCTAGGACAACTTCAAATTCTTTTGACTATTTTTTATTTTTGGTCTGAAACTATTATCACAACATACATATTTTTAATATTATATAGTTCTCACCCAAAACTACATATTAAGATTTCTGCCAGGCAGTGGTGGAACACATCTTAACTCTCAGCATGCAGGAGGCAAAGGCAGGTGAGTCTTGAGTTTGAGGCCAGCCTGGTCTACAAGGTGAATCCCAGGACAGCCAGAGTTACATGATTGACCCTGCCTCAGAAAACAAATAAGTAAATAAATAGGAATGGGAAGAGAGATCATCAGACGCCATGTCTGTATCACCACAGAGAAGCGCACATACTATATAGAGATCATCAGACACCATGTCTGTATCACCACAGAGAAGCACACATACTATATAGAACTCATCAGACGCCATGTCTGTATCACCACAGAGAAGCACACATACTATATAGAGATCATCAGACGCCATGTCTGCATCACCACAGAGAAGCACACATACTATTTCCACCCAGTAGGCTGAGTGAAATAAATGTTTCTGCAGGATTTCTCAGCCTTACCCAAGGGAGGCAACAATGAGGCGGGCAGCGGGCAGCTTTCCTGCCCCGTGGGCCCATCTTGTCTCCCAGAGTAGGGATGGGAGGCCAGCCTGGCTGGTTCCAGGAAGTGCTGTTCACCTACCAGGACAATGGCACAGAAGCAGGGCTGACCTGTCATTGCCAGGAAGATGGCAGGGCCTACCCATGGCTACCAAGGTGCCAATCCCCTCCGAAACCACATCAGGGTGAGGCAGGTTTCCTTAGTGCTGCTGTGACCTGCCTGCCACAAACCTCCCAGTTGTCCCACTTAGCAACTGCCTGCTCTGGCTTCTGCCTTTCAACTTCTTCCCACCAGGGCTCACAAGGGTGTGTGTTTACATGTGTGTGAGTGCACAGTGTGTGTGCTTATGTGTGTGTATATGACTGCATCCAGGCTTGCATAGGTTTAACTCAGGATTTTTGTTGTTGTTCACCAACACAGCCCACTTAAAATTCTGTTAACAGTCTGCTGCAAACCCCAGTCCTGCCTTGGTCCATGTAAACGCACACACGGCCCATGACCACACGCTATGCTGTGAACACACACACGGCCTGTGGCCACACGCTATGCTGTGAACGCACACACAGCCTGTGACCACACGCTAGGCTGTGAGTGCACACACGGCTCTTGACGACACGCTAGGCTGTGAATGCACACACGGTCTGTGACCACACGCTATGCTGTGAACACACACACGGTTCGTGACCACACGCTAGGGCTGTGAGTGCACACACGGCTCTTGACGACACGCTAGGCTGTGAGTACACACACGGCCTGTGACCACACGCTATGCACATTTGCTCAGAGGCAGGCGACCAGCCTGGCAATTTGCTTTTCTAAAATTTTTCTTTTTTTCTGAAATACCCAACTTATTTTATTAGCTATGGTGTGTGTGTGTGTGTGTGTGTGTGTGTGTGTGTGTGTGTGTGTAAGAGAGGGCCTCATGTGGCTCTCAGAGCCCTAGAAGTCACTTTGTAACTGTAGCCTAGGCTGGCCTCAAACCTCTGACTCGTGTGTCCGAGGTGTGTATGGATCACACATCCACTTCAGTTAATAGAATATTTAGGGCACCCACATCACACATGGTTAAATACACCCCCAAGGCTGACAGTAGGCAGTACTAACTTAGACAGGGCCTCACTGTAGACTCAGCCGGGCTGAAGCTCACGCCTTCCTCCTCACAGGTTTTTCACCTAGCACCTGTATTTTCCCGGGAACCTACTGTCTGTTTTACTTTCTGGCAACGGTAAGGAGTGCTCCCTGTGAGTCTGAGACAGGACTCTCTCCACCCCTGGTTGCTAGACTGTGCCAAACCTGTATATGTGTATGCCTATGTATGCATATGCCTCTGCTCAGGGTTGGTGTTCCGAGCCAAAGCGTGAGAAGCCTGTGAGTTGTTCACAATGTCTGTGTCACGAACACACAGTGTACCGCCTTCCTTCCTGTACGTGCATACCGACCTTTTCATGTTGCTAATGGGACAGATCAAGAAATGGTTTTAATAAAAGGCCGGGAGGTGTTGGCACACACCTTTAATCCCAGCAATCGGGAGGCAGAGGCAGGGAGTTCTCTGTAAGTCTGTGGCCAGTCTGATCCAGAGTGAGTTCCAGGATAACCAGAGCTATGCGGAGATCCTATCTCAAAAAAAAAAAAAGTTTTATTAATAAATTTATTTATTTTTAATTTTTCTGGCTACTAGTATTTATTTTGTGAATATCCTATTCATATTTTTCATTTTCTTCTTTGGAAATTTTTCCATACTCATACAGATATGAAAGTCCTTTGTTTTCTGTGTGTATAGCCTTGGCTGTCCTAGAATTCTGTAGACCAGGCTGGCCTCACTCACACTCAAGAGCTCCATCTGCCTCTGAGTCCCAAGTGCTGTGATTAAAGGCGTGGCTTATGAAAGTCCTCGTAGGACGGTTAAAACAGTTACCCCATCTATCCTTTAAAAGTTTTTAATTCTCTCCCAAAATTTTCTTCCTGACTTCCTTTCAGCTTTGGGAAGAATGGTGCCCGCAGAGGCCAGAAGAGGAAGACAGATCCCTGAGCTGGAGTTACAGGCGGTTGTGAGCACCCAGCACATGGACCTGGGTCCTTCGAAGGAGCTGCCTCTCCAGACCCTACACCAACTTTTCCAATGTTCATTAGTATAGACTTTTCCCCCCTTCCTTCCTTCCCTCCCTCCCTTTTTCTTTTTTAAGATAGGGTCTCACCATGTAGCTCAGGCTAATCTAGAGTGCACAGATCCACCTGCCTCTGCTTCCCAACGGCCAGGACTAAAGGTGTGTGGGATCATGTCTGGGAAGAAGTGTATATGGAAAGGGTCCGTGAAGAGACACCTTCCCTTAACAACAGGAGCAGGTCCTCTCCTCACCTCTGACAGCAGCCCCTGCTGCTGCAGAGACACAGCTCAGTGGAGACATGCCAACTTGCTTGCCTCGGCCATGCCCAATGCCCTGGCTGGGACCTCACACCACAAACAAGAACAACACTCCTGCGGCCCCAGGGGTAACCAATGCTTCACTTTCTTGGGACAGGGGCCCCCTTTTCTGCCAGCATGTCTCTCTTTGAGGTCAGCCTAGTCTGACCAACTGGGTTTCACCCTGTGAGTCAGGAGGTCTCTGTTCTCGGAGGACGCCCTGGTTTAGAGCAAACCTCAGTCAAATCAGGACTGAAAACAGGGAGGGCTGCTGCCCTCTGAAGATGCCTCTGGGGCAAGCTTGCGTCTCTGGTAGGATACAAGGTGGGTTTCATGACCCCTCCCTCACTCACCCTGGGATATATTCTCAGAACTGGTCTAAATTCTGTCTTTAACTTCTCAAAAAACAAAGCAAACAAAACCTTATTTTCCTTTGTAATAACACTTGGCCCTTGTTTCCACCCTGATGAGGAACACTGAGCTATAATCCTGCCTACAACTGGATCTTTTTACCGTAATTTTGGCCCAGGTTCCTCCTATTCAGTACTTTCTGACCCTGCGTGGCCCAACAGGTGCCTCCCTGGAACTCAGCCTTAGATGACATCTTTGATGGCCATGCATGTCCCACTCAGCCTCCAGCTTCTCAGCCTCCAGCACCTTCCCCTGCGACATCTCTGTCTCCCCCCTCCAACTGCACCTCCTCCTCACCCACGCACATTCTCTCTCTCACACATTCATTCAAGGACTTCACCCCCAACATCTGTGCCCTCGGCAAAGCAGCTAAGAGAGACCTCATCCCCTTCTCCCGAAGGCTGTGTCCCAACTGTTCCAGGTCCAGTCCCCACACTGGACAGCCTCCCCTCCCCTCCCCTCCCCTCCCCTCCACTGGACAGCCTCTCCTCCCCTCCAGTCCCCACACTGGACAGCCTCTCCTTCCTCCAGCCCCCACACTGGACAGCCTCTCCTTCCCTCCAGTCCCCACACTGGACAGCCTCTCCTCCCCTCCAGTCCCCACACTGGACAGCCTCTCCTCCCCTCCAGTCCCCACACTGGACAGCCTCTCCTCCCCTCCAGTCCCCACACTGGACAGCCTCTCCTTCCCTCCAGCTCCCTATCTCTCTTTTTCCCCTCTGCTCCAATCCTCCAAGAATACTAACCGTTTACTATTTCCTTCAGGTTTTTTGTTTGTTTGTTTTCGAGTCAGGGTTTTTCTGTAGCTTTGGAGCCTGTCCTGGCACTAGCTCTATATAGACCAGGCTGGCCTCAAACTCACAGAGATCTTCCTGCCTCTGCCTCCCGAGTGCTGGGATTAAAGGCGTGCGCCACCACTGCCCGGCTCCTTCAGGTTTTTAGGGATCCAAAACTTCACACTGCACGGTGAACACACAATCTTGGCTGTCTCCTGTCTGTGCCTAGACTAGGACAATCCCCTGCCAAGGTCCTGTGGTCTCCTCACCTGGCCTACAGAAATGGGACACTCTGTAGCACTTTCCCCAATCCAAGCAGTAGTGGGGAGGGACTGAGAGGACAGGAGGGGGGGAGCTGGAGTTGGGATATAAAAACAAACAGAACCACTGATCAGGAAAAATTTTTTTTTTTTTTTTTTTTTTTGGTTTTTTTGAGACAGGGTTTCTCTGTGGCTTTGGAGCTCGTCCTGGAACTAGCTCTGTAGACCAGGCTGGTCTCGAACTCACAGAGATCCGCCTGCCTCTGCCTCCCGAGTGCTGGGATTAAAGGCGTGCGCCACCATCGCCCGGCAGATCAGGAAAAATTTAACAATTAGAAAACCTACGTGTGTTTCAAAGGAC